ATATATATATATATATATATATATATATATATATATATATATATATATATATATATATTATGTGCGTGTGTGTGTGTGTGTGTATATATATATATATATATATATATATATATATATATATATATATATATATATATATATAAATATATATTTGCAATGTAATTTTCTATATTACCTTCGCCTCTCCGATGTCGACGATTTTGGTATCGTTGGATTCCTCTCATTCTATACAATGCAAATATGTAGATTTTATTGCGCGGAAACCCCCGTTAGCGGCAAACTTGGCCCCGATTGCAGGGGCGACGATGTCGGAGCGGCGGACGTAATATAGTAAATTACCCTAAGAATATAACCCAGCCCCCCAGCCCCCGCCGAGGACACAAAATATCCCCCACGTATTGACGGCAGGATAGAGCCCACACAACTATATGCATCGAAAAAGGCGCAAAACCCGCCGACCCGACGAGGGCGGGTCACCGCCGCTCTTCTGTTCATGGTATACCTTGTTCATCCTGATTATACTACAATCGTATCTGTATACAATGTGACCATGTCAAGGTTAGTATGCTGATTCAGTGGGAATGTTACGAGGTAAATGTAATACGACCGCCGCTCCGAGATCTCCGATAACTGTGTAACGCTTTAGCCTGCCGGGAATACGTGGTGGAGGTTTTGTTTCCTCGGCGGGGGTTGGTGGGCGGCAGTCCCCCCAGGGGGGGTCGCAGGGGGCTGTGCCCCCTGCAATGGAAAGTCATATGAATAACCATGGTTATTTTCACTGTGGGTTATATTATTAGTGTTATTTAACCCCGCATTTTCCCTGGAACATTTCATGCCCTCCCCTGCTATCGGGGCCAACTTTATCTAACGATATCAAAATCGTCGATATCGGAGAGGCAAAGGTAATATAGAAATTACCATTTCTATATACATACATATATATATATATATATATATATATATATATATAATATATATATATATATATATATATATGTGTGTGTGTGTGTGTGTGTGTGTGTGTATATATACAGGCGGTTCACTACAGCTTAACCTGCGGCGCTTGATCGCTTTGCTTGCGGGCGCTTCGCTCCTTAGGTCTTCGCTCTTATGTTATCCTTCGCCAATATTATCAAATGTTCAATAAAACAAGCATGTTAAACAAATATTGGTTTATTTATCTGAGTATAAAGATTTACGTTGTTTCTTAAACGGTTTTCTTTCATCAGATTCTTCTCATAGTCCTTTTCTGCGTCGAGTCGGCGTTTACATCTACGACCTCCATCGCTGTCAACATTACTCATCCTCTTAAGCTCTTACTCATCCTCCTCTCGAGTTTCTCGTTGTTCTTATCGAGTTTCCAAACTGTCATCATTCAGTTCCTCTAGTGAATCTTCAGTCTTGGTTGACACAAAGTCGGTGTCGTAGTCCGGTAAAATCATCTTAATTGCTTCTTCTGTTAGTTTGAACGTTTCACTGTGCTCGTCCCTTAGTCTTGATGCCAACACCTTATCTTCTTGGAACATCCTCTTCGTTATGCCCTTGGTAGACGTTAGCCACTTCCACAGGTGCCTCTGTCTATCAGGATTCAAAACATTTACTTTAGCACGTCGCTAGATGGGGGGCACGTCGTTGTTTATATTATCTATCGTGGCCATAGACAGCCATTCTATTTTTTACTGACCAAGGTACAAGCATTTTTGGATAAATTGTGGTGATTCACAGTCATTCCTGCAACCATGCTTTTCACATCATCTTCCATCAACTCACCCGAACAGGTGCTGTTAGCTTTTGGTCTGTTTTTGGATAGGAGTCGTAAAGCGGTTGACAATCTTATCGTGTTGCCCTCTAAGATTTATGTTCTGCTTTAAGTATGCTTTTCTGTTTAATTTGTTTAACGACTGTATCTGTATGAAGGGCTGCTATTTGGCGTGGTGTTTTTATCCTGTTAGTCTCTTTTTCAATTCCATGAGGCACTAGGTATATCTCCTCACAAAGTTGTATGTCATCAGTACAGAATAAAAATCCGTCATAGAAAAGAGTTAGGCTTTTAAAAACTTTACCATGGATATTTTTTTCGCTTCTTTTTAACGGATTTTAACTATTTTACCATGTATCTTTGTCGTGTGATTTAGTCATCGAGTGCTTTGTCAGATTCAGACAGATGATAGGCCTATTCCTTTACAGATAAAGATACACATCTTTCAATTATGGTCATAGATGTAGCATTTTATGCATTTTTTTTCAAGACAACTTAGAATATATTTATTAGATTAAGACATGGCATATGCAGTGATCTAAATACGATCTGCTAATCTCATATTGTTTAAAATGCGAACAGCATTGTTAGATGATAGTGATAATGATGATAATTACAATAATAGTGATAATGGTAATGAAGGTTTGGCCCAACGGAGCGACCTACGACTAAAACCTTTAACTTTTTTAATATATCAATTTTCAGCTGACTAGCTTTTTTCATGAATATTTGATCTCTAGA